TGTTGGCGGCCTCTAGTCGGTAGCCTGCCAGGCGTTCTTATTTGCCACTGGCCTCGCGGACCACGGGAGTGGTGAATACTATGCAGCGTTTGTTCCCGAATTAGTAGAGCAGAGGATAATGCATGCAGAAATTGGCCAGGTAGTTTTTAGATCTGTCTCCTGTGTAAAAAATAACAATTTTAATAATACAGTACAGTACTTAAGCCTAGATTTTCAAAGACAAGTAGCACCTTTACTCCTTTAGGAAGTTTAGCTTTCTTGTTAGATATCTTAGTTTAGGTACCTAATTCCCACTTGAAATCAGGATCTGCTTTTCATGCGAATGCTATCCTGTTTTGAAGATGGGGCCTGGGGCTGCGCTGAGACACGGAGAAATGGATTCACAGCGGAAGAAAGGAGAATGAGTACTAGGAGTCCTGTTTCTCGGTTTCCCATCCTAATTAGGGGACTACATTGGAAAGGAGTATTCAGAACAAAATAAACTATAGCTTCAACTGTCCATTGCAAATTCTGTAAGACAGAAGAAATTCAGAACAAATACTCCAAATATGAAAAATCAGACAGCCTTCATACTTTCGTTCATTGAAAGTCTGGTGCTGGACGTGTTTTATTTGAAGGGAAAGGAAACAAAGATTAATTTTGCTCTTTTTACCTCTTTCTTAGATAAAGGTGGCCACACCCTATTTGTAATTTATTATAAGGCTCAGAAAAAAGGCAGTCTGCGAACTGAGGGGCGATACTTAGATCAGATTTGTATATTATAAAGAAAGCAGGCTGCTTTTTTCATAGCAGAAAAAAGATGGAAAAAAAATGAGATCACAAATGTAACACAAAAAATGTGCAGTCAGCTTTAAAACTCACACGCAGATTTGGCATTTACTGATTTGACTACCTGGACTGAGCTCTCAATTTTGTCCTTCCCAGGTTCATGCAAAAGTGTTGAATTGCAGAAAAATGAGACTGGAAGGAATCCTGGAGATGGTCTAGTCCAACTTCGTGTTTCAGACCAAGATCAGCTATACCTGTTTGTATCTACTTTAAAAAAAAGTCTTAAATGTTAGAGACTGCATAATCTTCAGAGCTTCATTAGCCTTACTTTTTAAACATTTTTTGCTTAGTTCTGTTTTGTCTTACTTTAATTTAAACCTATTTGCAGTTCATGTAAATGAATTTGCAGTTGTCCTCTAAACTGTGACTACGAAAAACAAGTTATTTGCCAATTGGTTGTCATAACAGTTATGATTACCAATTCCTTTGCCATCTTCTCACTTGACGTAGTGCTTAGCTTAGGCCTTGCCGGTGTAGAGTACGAGAATTTTTTCACGGATCTAACGCATACTATATGTAAGCATAATGCTTGCTGTTTGCACCTTTTTCTGTGGCAGCAGCATGGCACTGACTCGTGATGAGTTTGTTAGGCACTATGGCCCCCGATTCTTTATTTTACAGTAGTGCCACATAGCCTAGCAGCCCCATCCTGAATTTGTGCAGTCAATTCTTTCCTTTTGTAGAATATTGTTCTTATCTGCATTGTACTTTGTCCATTTTTCAGACCATTTTTTAAAATTTTTCTTCTATTACTTACAGTCCCTCTCAGTTTCAGATTGCTTGTGGGTTTAACAAGTGTACTCCTGATTTTGTGACCAAGGTGATTAAACAAAACAATGAACAGAATAGGAATAGCACACTGATGTTTGGAGCCTCACTCAGACATACTTGTTTTGACATAGAACTGATGATTATTACTTTCTGGGAATGGATATTCAACAGTTTTTTTACTTATCTTACTGAAATTTCATCACAGCTATGCTTCCCTTGTTTGCTTATGAGAACCCCATATAGATACTGCTAAAAGTCTTACTATAGTAAAGTTGTTTTTCTGCCACTTCTGTCCATAAGGCCTGTTGCTCTGACATGAGAAAACAGATCGCTGTTATGTGCCTTCTCTTTACAGGTCTATGTTGGCTGCTAACTCCTCTCCTTGTTACCTTCTAGATACAAACTGGTAATTTGTTTGATGATTTGTTATCAAAGTTTTCAAGGATTTGAAGGGAATTTTGAGAAAGAGTGACTGGCACATTTGCCACTTCTAGTCTTCAGATACCTCATTATCCTCCATGAGTTTTGAAAGATAACTGTTAACACTTCTAAGACAACATTTTTTAGGAAGAAGTCTCGACTCAACAGTTTTTAAAACATCTGGCTTAGATAAGCACTCTTTAACCTGTTTCAGCCTTGTTTCAAGGCTGAAATCTTGCTCTTTATCTGTTGTTTAACTGAGCTAGCTCCCGTTTTCTGTTAGCCTTTTTAGAGAAGAACAGTAAATGCTTCTGCCTTCTTGACGTTAGCCACCTGGTAGTGTTCCCTCAGAACAGCAGACCAACAATTCTTATGGTTGTTGTTTTCCTACTAGTATGTCTATAGCTCATTTTCTCGTTGCTCTTGATATTTCTGGCCTTGTAAATTTTTGTCCTTGTATGCTTCTGCCATTCTTTTATACTGATCCTTTAAGAAAGCTGATGTAGTTCTGATTTCCTTGTTTCCTTTCCTCTGTTTTCTTGTCATACCTGAGTCTAATCACCTATTACATTTCTTACCCTTTCTTTGCATTAAGATAGTTTGCACTTGTGCCCTTAGTAAAGAAACTGCCATCTCTTTGTAACTTTTTGTGCAGCCAGATCTTGCTTGCTAGTTATCTGTTCATTGATGTCTGCTCCTCAAAATCCATTCTTTGTTTTTCTGCTCTCTTATTTTCTTCCTGAAGATACATTATGCATGGCCAATGTCTGCCCACTTGCATGTACTTCTTGTGTTGTTATAAACACAATCATTTTGTCTTTTTTTCCCCCCAGTTAGTAGTTAACTGTATCTATTGTAGAAACACCTTCAGGCAAAAATCTGGAGTTTGAAGAAGGACTTGGCTTAGGTAGGCATTTCAAATGCACTAATGAAGAACATGTATTCTCTAGGAGAAGCTAGTAAAGAAGAGGTGCTGGCCGGATAGAAGTGTAAAAGGAGATGGTGTGAGGAAGGATACAGTGGTTTAATGATCTGTCGATAAGAAAAGGAACTACTTCTAATACGCTGAAGAGGAAGATGGTAGCAAGCTTGGAAACCCACCAGTAAATCCAGCAAGGATCAGTAGTGGAGTACCATGAACTTGCTTAAAAAAAATGAGGGCTCATGCTATACTTGTGCTTAGAAGACAGCTTTACTTTATATTTTGAAAAAAAAAAAAAAGGAATTTTATATTTTTATTTCATTTTGAGAGTAAGCATAAAGGAAGACCATTTGAAATGCTTTCATTCTGATGGAAGCAGAATTCTGCTTGAAGAGAATTGAACAAACTGCAAGAGCCCGTTCTAAAACTTGAGACACTTGAGGATCACAGGCTGCCAACTGTCGCATCACGATCCCAGTCTCCTTTTCAGTTCCCTGGGATAAAATATCTTGTGAACATGAAATCTGGCTTCTCCAGATGGCTAGCAAAAGCCTATGAACAACTTCATCTTTCAAAAGGAGGATTTAGTAATCATAGGCCTCGTGGTGGTCTTTGGCATTGGGGCAAATTTCAGACAATATTTGGAGTTGTATGTATTTTTGAAACTAGTATAGCAGAAAAACTTTTCAGTAACACAGCTTAATATGTGCTAAAGGAGCATCTTCTGGGAGCTGAACAACCAACCACTAAAGCATCCTTCCTGTGTAGGAATTGTAAATATTTATAGCCTGTTTAATGTTCTTAACATTCATGTGCAAACTTGGATTTTGTTCTACCTGTTCTACAACAGGTTTTTAAATAAAATATACAGAATTCTCATCTATAAAATACAGAGAGGTGCAGAAGTAAAAAAGAGAACTTGGAAAAGCAGATTTAAATTAGTCCATTCAAAGTAACTAGGTTTTAGGCAAAAAGTTTAATGCTGAAAGACAACAATACTGTCACGATTTGTGCCCGAGGCTTCTTCCATAACTGCCGTTTATGAACACAAACACGGGGAAATAATCAGATTTCACTTTCCTGTGGTACCTAAAAATTCACACGCAGGATCGTGGTTGTCCGGGATACGCAGTGTGCCGTCCGGTGCCGGGGGCGTTCCGCACGTTTGACGGAAAGGGGGTCGGTGGGGTGCCGCGCTGAA